TAGAAGAAAAGGTGATCTTGATCAGGCTAATGAATATTATCAACAAGCGCTAAAAATTCAATTGGAACAATTAGGACCGAATCATACTAACGTTGCGAGTTTATACAACAGCCTGAGTAATAACTCAAAAAAGGTGATCTCTATCAGGCTAATGAATATTGTCAACGGGCGCTAAAAATTCGATTGGAACAATTAGGACCGAATCATACTGACCTTGCCAATTCATACAAGCTCCTGAGTAATGCGTGTAGCCGAAAAGGTGATTGTGATCAGGCTCATGTTTATTGTGAACGGGCGCTGAAAATCCAATTAGAGCAATTAGGACCGAACAATACTGACGTGGCCAAGTCATACACCAGCCTGGGTCATGTGTGCTTTTGATCAAGCTTATGATTATTAGCAACGGGCGCTGACAATTCAATCCGAGCATTTAGGACCGAACCATCCTGAGATTGCTAATTTGGTAAAGGTGATCGCCATGATTAAAGATCTCCTTCAATAATTATTGTATGACGTTTAGCGTGATAATAAAAATTTATTAGAATTTCTGATATTTCTCTAAATCAGGTGAAGACCGTATCCAATATTTATTTTTAAATTCACCTGGAGCCCAGATGTTAAACATCGATATCATCAGGTTCATTCAATTTCTTCTTCCTAAAATGTATTGTAATTTTTTTCTAAACTGCGCCAAACTATGCCATTATTTAATTTTTAAAAATACGGCTTTTCTGTGTCACCAATTTTACAAACTACTTTTTGTAGAAATGACGAAACGATATTTGTGTAGCTATCGTAAATGATGATATCACTTGCTTCATTTCGTAGCAATATTTGGTGACATTCAGCTAATTCTTTTACGAATTAGATGTTTTCAGCGATCGGTAGAAATAGGGGTGGAATTATATCATAATGATAAGGCTTTTAAAATTAAAAATATGGATAACGAAGTATTTTCCACATATCAGAGCCTATCAGATAGTCTCGGAAATTGACAGGAAATATTTAAAAATGCCTAAAATAAAATGTAGTTAAAAACAGTGGCGTAGCCAGCCTGACAATTTAGTCATGCTATATGCTAATATTTTGGTGTTCATTGACTGTGAAAACAATGAGTTTCTAAAGAAATCAATAATGGTAACATAAACTTTACATAGCATCACCTAAATCTTCAGGCTGGCTACGCCACTGGTAAAAAAGCGATATCTTTTTAAAGTCATGTATATGCTTTAAACGTTCCTTGAACTGCGTTTAGTTTGAAGCACTTTCTTTAATTCTCGCAAAATGTGTGCAAAATGTTGGTTCAAATCTCGAAGGGTTGCAACATTTATAACGTGTACAAAATTATTCCAGCCGTCTTAGCGTAAATACTAATAATAAAAATAATAATTATTTTCAATAAACAGCTTATGACTAAGTTATTACTTGTTAATTTAGTTGTTTGATGCGTACTAATTTCATCCACAACTAGAGGCAGAACGCTAGGTGGACAATAGCCAATGATTTTAACAGCGGTGGCCTCATCCACAAACCTAATTTGTCTTTGTCAATTTCTCATCAGCGGGTTTACCACTTATCAAAACAGCAAAGAGTATGGGCCCAAGCTTTTTCTCGAGGAACGCTATGAGGCGTGAGGACGTAGATTATTAATCCTCGGATTCTGTTCTCTATTCATAAGAAAGGATTTAATCCAATGTATGAACACTGAGTAAATATTTAGAATAACGAGTTCTTAGATTATTATATTGTGGTCGAATAAATCAAACGCCTTACGAAAATCAGTAAATAGACAACTTGTATTATAGATTTCGCGCCGCTAAGCATGATGGTAGGAGGTTGTAGGTTGCTTTCGAACGAAATGGCCGCTGGAGGGGGCGATTTCCTTCGGAGGAATATAGGCAGTTTTTAGACTATTTATTGCTTCAATCGAGTTTCTTTTTCCTATACAAAATAACAAGGGCGCTGTTCTCTGTATTCTGAGAGATTTTGAGCAGTTTCTATCTATTATCAGCCGAGAAATTACTCCGAGAGTGACACGCTTTGAAAACACACTTTGCAGAACAGAATTTACTAGGTGACATTTAGATATCCGCAACAAAAGCAGATCGTGAGTCGGCCTTTCATTATGCGATCGGCTGAAATTTTTTTTCAAAATAAATTATGATCCCACATTATGCATTGAACACACCGTATGGCTGAAACTGGGATCTCTTACACTATTACCATTTTTTTTTAAAGTGTTACCCCTTTTTCTTTTAATATCAGGATTCTTTGGAATCTGATGAAAAGACAGTTCAGGGTAAATTCGAGCACAAATGCGACATAGGTTGTCAATTTCACGAGGCCCCAAATACCATTTTAATGCGCGAACATACAAAACAACTGTGTGATCGAATGCAAGGAAATATCCGAGCATAGAAGAAGACATATACTAACCACATTCCAACAATTTTTGCAACAAGAAGTAAACAAAGAAAAGGCCCAATGCAGAGTAACAGTTGACAATGATAATTATTTACAATGTTCATCATGTTAAACTAGTAAAGAAATAAGAGATGATGCAGTCACTAGCGAGATTAATTCATTCTACAGGCGTTCAGATCGAGGCTGCTGAAAAAACAATTAAGAAGCAACAAAAACAGCTAGAAGAAGATATCAAAAAAGTACAATTAAGTGCCTTCCGATTAGAAAGATTCATAGGCAGTAGCAATGATTTTAGATTTTATACTGGATTTCCAAAATATTCAAGTTTTAAACCTTTTTATGAGTACCTTTCTCCGGCCTGTGAACACCTTGTGTATCATGGTTCCAACACTGCTCCTATAACTTCAGCATCACAAACAAATTGTAGTAAACAAAAGATCAATGTCCCCTGAAAAGGAATTATTCCTTGTGCTGACAAGGTTACGTTTGGGCTTACTTTTACAAGATATTGCTCATAGATTTAATATCTCGACAAGCAGTGTTTCTCATATTTTTAAAACCTGGATTCTCTTTATGCATCAATTAATGCCTTTGCACCCTCCCAATTTTGCCCAGTCGTAAATTCATTCAAGATTTCATGCCTTCATGCTTTAAGATTTTAAAAGAAAGTCCTAACACAAGAGATATCATTGATTGTACTGACTTTTTCATCGAAACACTATCATCATGCAGAAGCCAGTCTATCACATTTTCCCGCTGTAAGAATTATAACATTGCCAAGGGTTTAATTGGAATTTCACCAAATGGGTATCCAAGTTTTGTTTCCAGCTTATACGCAGGTAGAACTAGCGACAAAAAAATCACTGAGACTGTGGCATTCCAAATTTACTAGAGCCAAGAGATAAACTTATTGCAGACAGAGGTTTTGATATTGATTTTGATATGCCAAATGCGGTACTCCTAAATATCCCACCATTCCTAGGACAACCTCAACTTGCGGCGGCTAGAAAAATTGCATCAGTTAGGGTGCATGTTGAGCGAGCAATTCCATGGATAAAAAACTATAGAATATTACATCAAGTAATACTATTGACACTGGCTGATAACCTTGACCAAATGTGGGGTGTTTGCTCCTATTTAACATTGTTTTGCCCCGATCGTTAAAGAAAAACAATTTTAGACGGTTAAAGTTGAGCCTTGACTTTTAATATTGCAAGTCCAAGTAATTTACTTTCTTGTGCTTTGTGTTAACATAAGTTACTCTAAAAAGAGTTTGTACAATATTGTATGTCTGTATGAACTGCTCAGGATCTATCAATCAAAATTCTTATAAAAAATATTGAGAATAAAAACATTGTCAAAGCGAATTCTTTCAACATGTAAATCATTATTGGTAAAAACGACAAAGTTGCACCAGCTCACATTATGCTTCCTCTATGCGAGCATCCTTTTTTGACAAAGGACACTTGTCACTTAACTTCACCAATGCCAAGTATTTTGTAATAGCCTTTTCCTTCTTATATTTTCCCCATTGGCAGGGTTCAGGACGTTTAGCCTGTTTGAAGTGGTTTTTAATTTTGTTGAGCATCTGGGTTGGGAAAATTGTTTTCTCTTAACTACTGCACTTAAATTTGATGATGTGAGTCTCTTATTGCGCTCCTCAAACCATTTCCCACTGTAAAAGATTGATCCAATTTAGAGTACTTCTGAGTGTATGATATTTGCAACATGCCTTAATTCCTTTACTGTATCACTGCAGCTATTAAATGATTAAACTGAAATGGACTGTAGATTATCTAAAACTTCATCACGGATAGCAGTGTCATTAAGATTCATAGTGAAGGATTCAGTGTGTCTCTTTTTTTATTGAAGATTCTGGTGGGCAGCCTCAAATGCATATGGCTTACAATCATTTGACTCTAGCAACCGTCCTAAATAGCTTTCCACCCGACGAAACTGCTTGCTAATTTCTTGATTTCAGTTCGTTGCATTACTTTAGCAAAATCTGGGCTGGGTTATACACTCCATTGGGCAGTTGTTTTCTTTTACGCTTATTATTGTTTTTAATATCCTTCTCATAGACAGACGTTTTAAAAATAATGCTTTCATAACGTTGTGCGCTAGCTGGATTTACCCGTTCAACCCCCCCCCCCCCCCCCTTAAGACTATAGCAATAATGCAATAATGAAATTACCGAGGTGCATTCGGTTTCAATTCTTATGGTAAGACATAAATAAATCGATTATCTGAATGACTAGAACCAAAGCTAGAACTAAAACGATATAACGATTTAGAAATCCAGCATCCTGCAGGATATTACCCCTGTCATTGTTTAATCTCCACAGGCCCTGTGCGCCTCATTGGTGCAATAGGCCTAGGCCCTAGATGATGATGATGATTGTTTAATCTGACGTAGATTCAGTAAAATGCTGCAATATACTTGAAAATAGGATATCAAATTTCAAAGGACAAATCCCTATGCGAATTAATTTCGTGAAATTACTAAACTGTGAAGACTGGTTCATGGGCTCTTGATTTCTGAGTAATCATTTAAAACTGTGTCGTTAATAGAGATACTTTGTGTAACGGAGCAATTCCATCGTTTCTATGATGAAATAGACTCGAGGTTTGTATTTGATATGTTGTGTTCATTGTTTTGGTCATGAGTTGTAATTATAGTCGCCACGCAATGTGCTAATTTTGCCGTTTTACTTTTACCTAGCGATCGTATATATATACATATATTTTACGACTTATTTGATGGGAAATAATTTCTATAATCCGACAGAGTTCTCTTCCTCCTGGCGGCTAACTGTCCATAAATTTATCAAGATTGAGGGAGTTGTGTTAAGCATAGTGCGATAGTGTTTGTCGACCATTTGATTAGAATTTAGAGACAGCTATCGCATATATGGCCTCAAAATGTATTGAAATAATACTCGACATTGTCTGTATAGTATAACCGGCAGCCTACCAAAACTTCTACAAATATAACAAAGGGAAATCCGTGTGCGATATTCGTTTCATTTTGAAATTATCAGACAAAACAGCAAAGAGTGAGTCTGGGTATTTCTAAGTTATCTATAATCATTCAAACATCAAAATGATATCTTGAGACCATTGCAAGGAACACATTGGGTAATAGAACAATTCCATCCTGGTAGAACATGAAATAAAATCGAGGTTCATATTTTTTGATATATATATATTGTGTTGATTGTTTTGGTTTCGATCACATACCACTGTGAAGTACGCACCACATTCAACACGACATTCAACACGATATTCACCACGATATTCAAAAACACCATATCCTTTCCATTTCCATCATTCAAACGTTCGAAATTCAAATATTGTTTAAAACCCTTTCCAAACATTTATTAAAAGGTGTATACGTTGTAACAAAACAGACGGAATCAACGTAAAATGTGCCAAAAAAAAAAAAATATATATATATATATATATATATATATATATATATATATATATATATATATATATATATATATTATATATATATATATATATATATATATACACCCATTTGCAAAAACGTTGGCCGCAGATAGATAGATAGATAGATACTCAAAATCTAATTAGAATTGCATATGTTGTGTAATATGATAATTGAGAAAACTTAATCGGGGGGGAGGTAAGCCTTTGCTAGGAACTCTTGAACCGCGTATTAATTGATCTAAACAAAATGTAGTCCCATCCAATGGATCTATTCTTCTCTATTATGTAAAAGATCGTATTGTCGTGCTCTATTTTGAATCGATTAGCGTGTTGGTAAGTTTATATCTCAACCGTTTCCTTTTTAATTTAAACGATGACCTACAAATTGCAGGCACTCAGCATAGATAAGTCATGAGTGTAAAGACTTAATTGTTCAATAGCGCATTACCCTTAACTCTCCCTTCTGCAGCGATAAACTAACTACCATTGTTTCGTATTGTTAACGCAGCCTCTTGCAAGCAGCATTTATCGAGCAAAACGTCAATATTTTGTAAAGTATAATGTCTGGAAGAAAGGTAATTATACTAGACAATCCTGAGGAGAAAATCCTCAATATTGATGAGGACAAAACTACAACTATATGAATATCATTAATATTGTCGTTTAAAATAATGTGCTTTTTATATTACATGCACGGCCAGAGAAGGAGATATAGATGGATTTGACAAATGTCATAGTAAGGGTTATTAACCCGAAGGATACTCGAGAGTTTAAGAAATACTCTTTAGAATCTTTCTGTTTGGTAAAGAATATAGAACAAATGCAAGAGACGTTCTTTTCCCACTTCGGGGATGAAGTCGGTGCGGCCTCAGAGAAGGAAATTGAATTTGGCTGGATCGGCCAAAAAAATAGTAAGAAGCACATGAACACTGAAAGCGATTTCGAAGATGCTTTTTCCTATTTGGAGGGGACTAATAAGGCAACCCTCTTTGTAGCAAAGAAAAAACAGGAGGCAGGCAGCAAGCACTTTTTCGGTGAGATATTTTTGCTTTGTTTTAGAACGTGTAACAGAACTTCTCAATATTGAATGCATGGTTGATTTTGGCTTATGTTAATAATTAATCGTCAAAACGTTATTCAAATTTGTATAGACACCAGCGAAAGCGATGAACTGTCTGAAGACAACAATTTTCTCACAAACCGTTCATCTAAGAAACGAAGAAAAAGCAGTAAATGTGCACGTGAGATATTTAATAAGCTAGAAGAACTGCACGGGGAAAATTATCCACGTGGACATTTGATGCTCTGGGCTCAAACAATAGTACGTATGATCATGGATATTTAAATATATTAGCAATATATGGCATGAATAAAATTACAGCTGTCTATCTCGCTGGTATTAATTGAGGAAACAACACTAGTTTTATTAAAATATATCCACATGCACCATGCAGTGCACGTGCGCGTACAATATAATCATATTTTGTCATATTATAACAACGTGCGGTTAAAAGAATGCATGTACACAAATCTGAATTTACACCAATTAGGAAATGGGCCATCACGATAGCTATGAAATAGCACCTAGCCTTCCTTATTTTTGGAGGAGCTAAATCAAGATCAACGAGAAGCAACACCAGAGAGGATCAAACTCTCACCGAAGCGTTTGCCTCTGCAGCGGTAGCTATTGCCGGGGCATTAAAGGATCCAGCAACTACTGAGTTTTCAAAGAACGCACTGGTATGAAATTTTCACTGTAAAAGTATATAAGCATAACATTTGACTTTTTATGCATTTTATCGCCAGTTTAGCTTAACCAATATATTTTTTATTAATTTTTCTTTGCATGTAGAGTAGCCGAACACAGCTGATAAATCAACTGAAATCACTTCAAGAATTAAGGAGTTTAGGTGCCTTGGACGAGGAAGAATTTACTGAGCAAAAACAAATCATTGTTAACGAACTGCGGCGTTTATAATCGTCATGTACAGTTGTTGTGATTATGTATATATTGATATCTGTTATGAACTTTTAGTCATATTTTATAATTGTTTCATTTTTCATATTTTAGTTGTGTAATTTCGTTGTAATATCATATCAGTAAGAATGATTGAAATTTGCATGCATCACTGATTTATTTGGAGTGACAGTAAAAATGATATGCTCAAGATACAAACTATTAAATTGGTTTTAACAAGTTATAGGTAATTAATGCACATAAAAGAATCACTCGTTTTAGTTATATGTAGCCGCAGTGTCGAAACCAGGCCCATAGATCTGAGTTAAATGCATGGCAGAAGGCAAGTTGAGCCAACAATCTATGGTTATTTGTTGACAAGAATAAGATTTCATGTTCCCTGATCCAGTTCTTTACCTTTGCAAAAACCATCTCGATCGGATTTAGTTGTGGACAATACGGAGGAAGAAAAATCAACATTGCTCCGGTTCTCTGAATTGCATCTTTCACTTCTCTCACATGATGCACCGGATGGTTATCTAAAATAATTAGCAATTCAACGTTTTCATCATGGTTGCCATATAGTATCAGTAAAGTAATCTTGAAATAGAATGTAAAAACATCTTTCTTCAAATAAGGCTCTCTTCGCGCACTTCTTTCGTAGAGTGTAATTATATAAATCTACCACAAACCTAATACAACTACAGAATTTGCGTTTAACCCATCGTACGGATTTAGAATTGGCGTGAGATCACGTTCCACGAATGTAATAAATTTTCTGGCATTCATAGACATTCCCGTTAACTTAATGGCTTCAATTCCTCTGACTGAAATAGCTGCGGCGATTGAAAGTTTTGGGCCTGTCTTCTAAATATGTTGTTTCGTCGCAATGGAACCACGCGGACTTACACCATAATTTCGTATGATTCCTCGATTCTAAAATGGCGATTTCCAAATACTTAGTTAGCAAGAGCATTAACGCATGAATTAGAAATTCTTGCCACCAAATTGAACATTATGTTTTGAACAACATGTTTATACTTACTCACCATGATTTACTTCTTCAAACTAGCTAACATTATATTCAGTTAAGATAAAATAGATTTTAAAGGCATGACCCGCGTAATCATGCATGATTGAAAGTTTAAACCCTGGAAAATAGAAAAAACCCTTGTTAAAAACCTGTTGTTATATACGGTTACAATACTTACAATGCTGGATTCATCAACGAAGATGAGCTCTTCAGGTCGAAATAAAGACAAAAGCTCCCAGTAATTTGTAATAGCATCGCTTCTTGCTCGTTGTGCGATTTTCTTTATCTATGGAATAGTTGTAAAGATCCAGCGTTTATTATAGTTCTCATTATAGTCTTATTATAGTCTAATACATGTATATCACCAAAAATTAGATAACAGGAAAAGCTAATATATAAGACGCAATATTCTCTAAAATTATCTTAATGCCCCTATCTATGCGATCGCGTTTACTCTAATTGCTATATCCGTGACAACTACATTTGCACAATCATCCGATTATAGCATCGTTAAAAATCGATGTTAAAAATCTTAATTCCTAAGATAAACTAGGAAGCCTAATGATACTGAATATTTGACGATTTTATGCTGGGATGCATGTAAACTGGACTTCTTCTGGTAATTTATTTGTACATGCAAGTTCACTAAAAACACGATACGTAAACTTCAATATAATTCATGTTTTCTGCATGACGTTAATCTAAAACTAAGATTATCAGTACAAAGCAAAGCAATTTATATATAATGTGCCTGCTGTTGCGTGACCAAAAAAAACGTTTGCTAACAAATATTCTTTTGTTTCCTGGAGCCAGTATAATTTATAATTATGCAATACTAACCCGTTTGCGAGAAAATTTATGCCTCCTCAAAAAACGCCAAACATTCCATAGATCAAAACGACCGCCTGTTATTTCATGTATATATGTAAGCACTTCTTTTATATATGCATTGGGGTTTTGAAGAACAAATTCCAGTAGGACAAATACTTCGTAAGGATGAAATTGCCCATCCAAACTAAATGGTCGAACAATTCTGTGATGATCTATCGCTCCGAATTGCCTATACCTTCGGCAGATTCTTCTTACAGTTCGTCTTGAAACGTTTAAAACATTTGCAATCGCCTGGCTAGATCTTCCTTCCCCGAAAAAAAGCAAGATTATCCGATATCGCAGGTCCAGACTGAATGGAGCTGGCATTTTAATAAACGTTACAGCTGTACATAATAGGCTAAATATCAATTGAACCTTATAATCAATAAGCGTAATTGCGTCTTGAGTTAAGTATTTTACTTCAAAACGTAACGACTATTACGAATACAATATAGAAGCGATTAATTGGAATTACGTTTTGTTTAGGTAAATGGTTTCAGGAGGTCTTAGTAAGGACTCCCCCCCGCTATAAGCGCGTCAATTATCATAATGCACAACATATGCAATTCTAATTAGATTTCGAGTATCTATCTATCTATCTATCTGCGGCCAACGTTTTTGCAAATGGGTGTATATATATATATATATATATATATATATATATATATATATATATATATATATATATATATATATATATATATATATATATATATATATATATATATATATATATATTACCAACATTTTTATCGCCAATTTTGTAATTCGCGCTGCAAAGAACAATTTCCTAATTTTCTCAACCCCGATTCCATAGAATGAGAAATCCTTTGAACTTCTGTATTTACTGGAGAGTAATGCGCGCTTTCAAACAGCATGTAACATGGAAGTGGTTTGGCCGTAGAAATATATATAAAATTCCGTCTTGAAATCAAACATATTTGCACGCGCGTCTTTTATAAACTAATTAATAAGTAACAGTTATTCTGCGAACTCGAGTCGTATGTGAGCTGTACACAAACTTTGCCGCCCTTTCGGTTCATTTTGGTGTGCTATTATCAACTAAACCTTGGATTTCTATTTCACTCAACTCCCAAATCTTTCAGCCATTTTGTTTACTTTTTCTACTAGACAGATATGAGCTAATATCTGTCTACTAGCCAACCAATGAAATTGCAGAATACCTCATATCTGGCGCTTGTGTATATAATAATACCTATTAGCGCGCAACAAAGCCGGGCGACAGTAATTCCAAAAGAATCACAATTTTCTCACCCGCTATTTTATGGAATTTAGTGCAAAGTATACTAAATTTATCTCTATCAAACTCGCAATTAAATTGCCCTTTCTTATGAAAAACGTTGAACGAGGAGTGAAGCCGGGACAAAAGTGTTTGTGTGAATTCACTTATTTAATTTCATTGTTTATCAATTTAATCCCTCTGAAACTTACGAAAAAACATTCTAACAATATTTATTTAACAACAAACTACAGCTAAATTTTCTTTTTTATATGATTTATGAGCACATATAAGAATATATTTTTTTTGTTTCGTTGCCTGCAAACCTTTTTGAAGTAGTGATCGTTTTGTGGTTCGAGGTATGCTTTAATCAGCATTGATTACAAAATTATAGTCTAAATCGTTAAAATAAACGATAAATCCGAACGAATGTAACTTCGCCGCTAAACAGTTCATGTTTTCCTTATGTTCACTCCTGAAAAGGCCCTCGCGAGAATGTCTCGCAACATGTACACGCGTGTCTGGAGGTAAAACACGCGTGTCTGGAGGTAAAATTTGGCTTCAATAATTTTGGCTATTTTAATCAGGAGGTAGCCTTCCAGTTCTTTTGAGTTCAATGGTTGCGCCAAACAACTATAAAATTCCGTCTTAAAATCAAACGTGTCGAATGTCGTGCGTACTTCACACTTTGGTGAGTTTGAGTTTGAGTTTGAGACAGAATTTCATACACTTCGAAAGAGGAATCACTTGAACATAACAAACCTCTTGAAAGAGTGTGTCATTCTGTACTATTTACGAAAATATGGTGAAGTTCCACAGAATGGAGGCTGAGAAAATTGCGATTGTTTAACGAGTAGTCTTTTCGCGTTTCTTAATTTATTATTAATGCCCAGGCATGTCTTCATATATAGCAATTTTCTCCGCCGCTATTTTATAGAATTTCTTCAAATCTCCGTATTTACTTAGAAATAATATGCTCTTTCAAACAGTGTGTAACATGAAACACGTCGATATGTAACACGTCTGTGCACTCTAGATGAAGCAATCGCAGGATAAATTTTCGCAGGCTGTTGTAAAGAATTATCTCGTGGTTGGCATCACCGTATAAGTAACCACGAATAACAATATTGATTTTTAATTACATGAAGTATATTCGTATAATAAAAATATAATAATAAAACTATGGCTTTATAGGCTAATACTATGATAATTGATTTATTTGATTAAGTATAAATGGATAAAAATGTAGATATCACTGGAACGATATTGGAGCAGCTATGCTAGACTTTCACTAACAATATAGCGAATATATAACGACGAATGCTATATCAGAGAGGGACATATCTCATATCTATATTTATAGGCTCTCAATAATTTTAAATGGACTAATTTTTGATCGAAGTAAGAAGAAGAAAAAATAATCATAATTGGAAAGAGCATATTTAAATAAGTGCATGGTTATATTTTTCGTAGTTTACAACAATTCTCAGCCAAACTTGTCAGTTTTACTAATTTTATTAAGCTCTTTCAGAAAATTTCCTTTTTATCGCCGAGGTAAGAAATTAGTCTAAAGCGCAAGTCGTTCTTTTACGGACCAAATTAATTTTATTACATAAGATTTAGAGTACGCGCATGCTGATTTGTCGAGAAGCTTGTTTATGTAACTTATAGAAACACGGGACTAAATTTTCACGGCGAAATTAACAGGCGAAGAGCTGTAATGTGAATTTGTAATTAAATCGAGTTATGATATATGTACAAAATCTTTTTATTCAGTTATATTTTAAAAGAAATAGAAAGAAAATTTTCCTGGGTTTTTTTCCATCGATTATTTGTCGCTCTCCCAAACTCCCAGGTGCATGTGTTTCTACAACTGTAAAGAAACACGGAAAATGTTTTTTATTACTTAAATACAAAAACTTAAAAGCATTTGTTAGTATAAATCGTAATGACAGTTTTAATGACAATTAATGATATGTGTCTGGGGCCTAAACAATAGCTAAATTAGTGCTACGAAACGAGAATATTTTTTATCCAAAACAACTTTCTGTGCTCAAATATGATTGCATAATATCTTCACACGGACAAAATAATCAGTGAACAGGGCCCGGTTGTACGAAAGTTGGATAACGCTATCCACCGGATAGTGGCTTTTTCACATGCTTTTAAAATCTTCTGTTGTTGCATATAACTTTGATAAAATGTTAGCATTCTTAAATTGAGGATTCTCTTTAACAATTTTTCGTCCCAAAGATGAAATTTTATTGCTTTTCAAGCATTTTTAGAACGGTTGAAAAAAATCACAATCCTGTGGGTAGCACTATCCAGCCTTCGTGCAACCAGCCCCTATGTTCCTACAGGGAAAAGGCTACGGTTTAATTAATTGACTCTTTCGGCCCTTTTTACGAAATTGATGTTTCGCATAAGCACTGTTATTATGCAAATTTGCTTTCTGCAGGAATATGCTAATCAACGGAACAGGAATTTTGAATTATGTATATATATAGTATGTAATTGCATCGAAAGGTAATCCAAATGATTAAAATACAAGATTAGCTGTTTTGGATGTGGCTTTGGCGGTAGATTATTCCCCCCCCCCATATACGGATGAAAGGGATGCCGCCATTGACGTCACAGTAGGTTGCCACGCGAACATCATGTGGGAATACACAATAGTTTCACGTGAACATGTGTGGTGTTTATTAGCGTACAATGACGTCACACCAAATGTACACGTTAGTTTCACATTTCGTAATATCGTGTTTGTAAAAGGTACTTTAAGCAAATCGGTGTTAGCGATTGTAAATGTAGTGTTGTTTGCTATGATTGGGTGATTTTATATGTTTATCTCCATATTCCATTCATATTTTTTATGGATTTGATGGCTCTTAAAAGAGCCGTTTTTTATGTTTTTATCGTTCATCTTCTAAGAATGCACGCTCCATATGCCTCGACTTCAACTTTTGCGCAATGCCGATGAGCAATTACCTCGATGATGTGATTCCCACATGTCTCAAATAAGTCAGGCATATAGAAAAGATTATTTGCTTTAAGGCATCCAAGAACTTCTAAGTTTATGCTTGGTATTTGGAGTCCCTTACATACTGCGGTCAGCTTATCATGCTGATGACAAGTATATATGATGATGATAGTTAGGAACGTCTGAGGGATAAAAAGACAGAGAGGATAATGCCAGCACGAAGGGCAGGCCGGAGTTAGCCACCACACACCTGGCCCGGTTCGGGAAAGGTCTCCCAGTCAGAGCACGACATTATTGGACAGCAGTATGAACAAAACCATATTTATATCGATAACGATAAGGTAACTGTCGTCGAAAAAAACGTCTGGTTTATTAAACACAAGTTAACGCTACACAACTAGATGTGAATATTGACAATATTTTGATTAATTTCTTTCAAAGCCGTCATCTTGAATATTTATGATACCGCGATAACTATAATGCAAAGCGCTTCGAATATTTAATAAGGGAGTCGTCTATTCCAAGTTTTCACTCGGTACTTGATTTCGCGCGGGTAACATTTCGCAGTAGAATCCATCTATATTGTTATAGCATATATGACAAAACTCTCTCAATAAAGAGTAATGAAGAGTGGACTACCTGAGTCCTGAGTGGACTACCTGAGTCTGAGAAGAGTGGACTACCTATTTAGTTGGAAATTCGAATTTTTTTTTTTCTGTATTCGTTTTTTTAAACAAGGCTACATTTTCATAAAGACTTCTCAAATTCGCTTTTTAAAACGTTTAAATTAATTTCTAGGATCAGCAATGTCTGGTCTACCGTGGGAAAGCGAGGAAAGTCAAAACTACATTCGAGCGGAATATATTCTCACTGATGCTGTAAGAAAGGAGTTGAGGAATTTATTTATTCATGAATGGAACAAACGTCACCAGGCTTCTCTCGGAGCATGGGATGACACAAACGTCAGTGGTAGTCAGTTGTTTAATCTGGAGAAAAAACGAAGAAGGCTAAATAAGACCATGCTTCAGTCCAAATTTCAAAATGGAAATACAAATGAGTGGGATTGTACCGTACTTTTTGATGCAATTCTTTATTCCAAGTCAATCGGTTGTAGTCTTAGTACAACAGAAAAGACTGAAATCGATATTCTTCGAAAACTGCGAAATGAAATAATTCATGAAATACCTGACAAAACGCTAACCGATAAAGAATTTCAAACCATGACAACAAAAGTTGAGAATGCATTGGGTGCATTGGGACTGTCAATCAACGAGGTCGTTCGAATAAAAAACCTGTTTGCGTCATTTATAATTCTTCCCCCTGAACCAGCCCATGAAGTCGTTTACCGTTCTGACAAGATACACGAGATAAGACAGATCCTTGAAAAGTTGCGCAGTCATAACGATGGCAAACTTACATATTTGTACATCTCTGGGAATCCAGGCAGTGGAAAATCTCAACTCGCCAGACAAGTTTGTGAAGATATTTGCAAAGATGTTAATGCGAAAGACAAAGCAATGTTTGTAATGACATTGAACGGAAAAGATTTAGATTCTCTTCTTTATTCATATAAAGATTTTTGTCGTCGGCTGAATTGTAACGAGAGCGCATTGCAAAGTATTTCAAGTTCATCTAAACCTAAAGAAGAAAAAATAAAAGATTTAAGATCGCAAATATCTTGCAAAATAAAAAATTGGAAAAAGTGGTGGATCATCGTTGACAATGTGGAAAATCTAGAACTCATATCCCCACTACTGCCTTTGAAGGGAGACGAAGTTTGGAAGGACGGCCAAGTTATATTAACAACACAAAACACAAATGCTGTCCAACAAGACAGTACCTCAACTAAGCATATCTCACTTATTCATGGTATGAATGACCAAGAGTGTCGCCAGCTGCTTGTTCTATTATCGTGTACCGAGGTCAATGACCCATTACTAGATGAGATGGCGGAGAAGTTGGATCGTCAACCACTGGCAATGGCCGCGGCAGCCGTGTATATGAGAGAAGTAACCAATAGTTGCCCAGATTTTTCTTGGCGAGATTATTTACAAAAACTTGAGAAGGGTAAAAGGGGTTTAACCGAGGAACGTCTTCGGCAAATGAATTCAGCGGCATATTCCTCCACAATGAGCACGGCAGTGTTGCTAGCGGTTAGAAAATGTGCAGAAAATAACACAATCCTGGAACATGCTTTCAACCTTTTCTCTTTGTTATCTTTTGAACCATTACCACTTGATCTTGTTGTAAAATATATTCAGGAGCAACAGGAGGTAGATGCGGAGGACGTCATTACCGCAATAAAACTCTCCTCGCTGTTTGTTCAGGATGGTAGCAATGGTGATGTCCGCCTACATCGTGTTGTTCATGAAGCCGTCAAAACCTTTTGTCTTTTCGATAAATCTAAAAAAGATAATACGGAAAACAAAAGTACAAGCGAGGAAGAAAATATAACTCACATTTACAGGGTTGTCAAAATAATGAGTTACTTTAGTGAAAGAGAAGATAAAATCAAATCTATTCCGCATTTGAAAGCATTTCACAAAGAAATTATTGACAACATTCATTTTCCCGATCAAGCATTACACTTATTAAGCTTACATTTCGAAAAAGCTGAGATTTCTCAAATGTATATATCTTTGGGCAGCACACTTTATCGCTTTTGTCAGTATGAACTGTCGATGGAATTTCTTCAACTGGCACTAAAAATTCAATTAAATCACCTTGGTCCGAATCACACATACGTAGCAACTTCATACAACAGCCTGGGCAATGTGTGTAGCAGAAAAGGTGATCTTGATCAGGCTAATGAATATTATCAACGGGCGCTAAAAATTAAATTGGAACAATTAGGACCGAATCATACTGACGTTGCCACTTCATACAACAGCCTAGGCAATGTGTGTAGCAGAAAAGGTGATCTGTATCAGGCTAATGAATATTGTCAACGGGCGCTAAAAATTCAATTGGAACAATTAGGACCGAATCATACTGACGTTGCCACTTGTTACAACAGCCTGGGCAATGTGTGTAGCAGAAAAGGTGATCTTGATCAGGCTAATGAATATTATCAACGGGCGCTAAATATCCAATTGGAACAATTAGGACCGAATCATACTTACGTTGCGAGTTTATACAACAACCTGAGTAATGTGTGTAGCAAAAAAGGTGATCTTGATCAGGCTAATGAATATTGTCAACGGGCGCTAAAAATTAAATTGGAACAGTTAGGAGCGAATCATACTGACGTTGCCACTTGTTACAACAGCCTGGGCAATGTGTGTAGCAGAAAAAGTGATATTGATCAGGCTAATGAATGTTATCAACGGGCGCTAAAAATCCAATTGGAACAATTAGGACCGAGTCATACTGACGTTGCCACTACATACAACAGCCCGGGCAATGTATGTAGCAGAAAAGGTGATATTGATCAGGCTAATGAATATTATCAACGGGCGCTAAACATTCAATTGGAACAATTAGGACCGAATCATACTGACGTTGCGAGTTCATACAACAAGCTGAGTTATGTGTGTAGCAGAAAAGGTGATCTTGATCAGGCTAATGAATATTGTCAACGGGCGCTAAAAATTCAATTGGAACAATTAGGACCGAATCATACTGACGTTGCCACTTCATACAACAGCCTGGGCAATGTGTGTAGCAGAAAAGGTGATATTGATCAGGCTAATGAATATTATCAACGGGCGCTAAACATTCAATTGGAACAATTAGGACCGAATCATACTGACGTTGCCACTTCATACAACAGCCTGGGCAATGTGTGTAGCAGAAAAGGTGATCTTGATCAGGCTAATGAATATTATCAACGGGCGCTAAAAATTAAATTGGAACAATTAGGACCGAATCATACTGACGTTGCCACTTCATACAACAGCCTGGGCAATGTGTGTAGCGGAAAAGGTGATCTTGATCTGGCTAATGAATATTATCAACTGGCGCTAAAAATCCAATTGGAACAATTAGGACCGAATCATACTGACGTTGCGAGTTTATACAACAACCTGAGTAATGTGTGTAGCAGAAAAAGTGATCTTGATCAGGCTAATGAATATTGTCAACGGGCGCTAAAAATCCAATTGGAACAGTTAGGACCGAATCATACTGACGTTGCCACTTCATACAACAGCCTGGGCAATGTGTGTAGCAGAAAAGGTGATCTTGATCAGGCTAATGAATATCAACGGGCGCTAAAAATTCAATTGGAACAATTAGGACCGAATCATATAACGTTGCACTTCATACAACAAGCTGAGTAATGTGTGTAGCAGAAAAGGTGATCTTGATCAGGCTAATGAATATTGTCAACGGGCGCTAAAAATTCAGTTGGAACAATTACGACCGAATCATACTGACGTTGCCACTTCATACAACAGCCTAGGCAATGTGTGTAGCAGAAAAGGTGATCTGTATCAGGCTAATGAATATTGTCAACGGCGCTAAAAATTCAAATTGGAACAATAGGACCGAATCATACTGACGTTGCCACTTCATACAACAGCCTGGGCAATGTGTGTAGCAGAAAAGGTGATCTTGATCAGGCTAATGAATATTATCAACGGGCGCTAAAAATTAAATTGGAACAATTAGGACCGAATCATACTGACGTTGCTACTTCATACAACAGCCTGGGCAATGTGTGTAGCAGAAAAGGTGATCTTGATCAGGCTAATGAATGTTATCAACGGGCGCTAAACATTCAATTGGAACAATCAGGACCGAATCATACTGACGTTGCGAGTTTATACAACAACCTGAGTAATGTGTGTAGCAAAAAAGGTGATCTTGATCAGGCTAATGAATATTGTCAACGGGCGCTAAAAATTCAATTGGAACAATTAGGACCGAATCATACTGACGTTGCCACTTCATACAACAGCCTGGGCAATGTGTGTAGCAGAAAAGGTGATCTTGATCAGGCTAATGAATATTATCAACTGGCGCTAAAAATCGAATTGGAACAATTAGGACCGAATCATACTGACGTTGCGAGTTTATACAACAACCTGAGTAATGTGTGTAAAATAAAAGGTGATCTTGATCAGGCTAATGAATATGTCAACGGGCAAAAATTCAATTGGAACAATTAGGACCGAATCATACTGACGTTGCCACTTCATACAACAGCCTGGGCAATGTGTGTAGCAGAAAAGGTGATCTTGATCAGGCTAATGAATTATCAACGGGCGCTAAAAATTCAATTGGAACAATTAGGACCGAATCATACTGACGTTGCCACTTTACAACAACCTGGGCAATGTGTGTAGCAAAAGGTGATCTTGATCAGGCTAATGAATATTATCAACGGGCGCTAAAAATTCAATTGGAACAATTAGGACCGAATCATACTGACGTTGCCACTTCATACAACAGCCTGGGCAATGTGTGTAGCAGAAAAGGTGATCTTGATCAGGCTAATGAATATTATCAACGGGCGCTAAAAATTAAATTGGAACAATTAGGACCGAATCATACTGACGTTGCCACTTCATACAACAGCCTGGGCAATGTGTGTAGCAGAAAGGTGATCTTGATCAGGCTAATGAATATTATCAACGGGCGCTAAAAATTCAATTGGAACAATTAGGACCGAATCATACTGACGTTGCCACTTCATACAACAGCCTGGGCAATGTGTGTAGCAGAAAAGGTGATCTTGATCAGGCTAATGAATATTATCAACGGCGCTAAAAATTCAATTGGAACAATTAGGACCGAATCATACTGACGTTGCCACTTTACAACAACCTGAGTAATGTGTGTAGCAGAAAAGGTGATCTTGATCAGGCTAATGAATATTCAACGGGCGCTAAAAATTCAATTGGAACAATTAGGACCGAATCATACTGACGTTGCCACTTCATACAACAACCTGGGCATGTGTGTAGCAGAAAAGGTGATCTTGATCAGGCTAATGAATATTATCAACGGGCGCTAAAAATTCAATTGGAACAATTAGGACCGAATCATACTGACGTTGCGACTTTACAACAGCTGGTAATGTGTGTAGCAGAAAAGGTGATCTTGATCAGGCTAATGAATATTTCAACGGGCGCTAAAAATTCAATTGGAACAATTAGGACCGAATCATACTGACGTTGCCACTTCATACAACAGCCTAGGCAATGTGTGTAGCAGAAAAGGTGATCTGTATCAGGCTAATGAATATTGTCAACGGGCGCTAAAAATTCAATTGGAACAATTAGGACCGAATCATACTGACGTTGCCACTTCATACAACCTGGGCAATGTGTGTAGCAGAAAGGTGATTTGATCAGGCTAATGAATATTATCAACGGGCGCTAAAAATTAAATTGGAACAATTAGGACCGAATCATACTGACGTTGCTTTCATACAACAGCCTGGGCAATGTGTGTAGCAGAAAAGGTGATCTTGATCAGGCTAATGAATGTTATCAACGGGCGCTAAACATTCAATTGGAACAATCAGGACCGAATCATACTGACGTTGCGAGTTTATACAACAACCTGGTAATGTGTGTAGCAAAAAGGTGATCTTGATCAGGCTAATGAATATTTCAACGGGCGCTAAAAATTCAATTGGAACAATTAGACCGAATCATACTGACGTTGCCATTTCTTCATACATACAAGCCTGGGCAATGTGTGTAGCAGAAAAGGTGATCTTGATCAGGCTAATGAATATTATCAACGGGCGCTAAAAATTCAATTGGAACAATTAGGACCGAATCATACTGACGTTGCGAGTTTACAACAACCTGAGTAATGTGTGTAGCAAAAAGGTGATCTTGATCAGGCTAATGAATATTGTCAACGGGCGCTAAAAATTCAATTGGAACAATTAGGACCGAATCATACTGACGTTGCCACTTCATACAACAGCCTGGGCAATGTGTGTAGCAGAAAAGGTGATCTTGATCAGGCTAATGAATATTATCAACTGGCGCTAAAAATCGAATTGGAACAATTAGGACCGAATCATACTGACGTTGCGAGTTTATACAACAACCTGAGTAATGTGTGTAGCAGAAAAAGTGATCTTGATCAGGCTAATGAATATTGTCAACGGGCGCTAAAAATTAAATTGGAACAATTAGGACCGAATCATACTGACGTTGCCACTTGTTACAACAGCCTGGGCATTGTGTGTAGCAGAAAAGGTGATCTTGATCAGGCTAATGAATATTATCAACTGGCGCTAAAAATCCAATTGGAACAATTAGGACCGAATCATACTTACGTTGGCCACTCATACAAACCTGAGTAATGTGTGTAAAAGAAAAGGTGATCTTGATCAGGCTAATGAGTATTGTAATCGGCGCTAAAAATCAATGAACAATTAGGACGAATCATACTGCGTTGCACTCACACTTCATTAGAACCGAACCATCCTGAGATTGCTATGTTGGTAAAGTTAATCGGCATCATTAAAGATCTTCTTGTTTTAAGAAATTCAATTTGCGGCGAGTAATCAATAATTGATGTATTACGTTTAGCGTGATAATAAAAATTTATTAGCATTTCTTGATAATTCTCAAAATCAGGTGAAAACCAAATTCAATATTTATTTTTATATTCACCTGCAGCAGGGGCCGGTTGTTCAAATCTAGGTTAACGCTATCCCTGGGTTAAATTTTAATCCGCTACTTTGGTTCATATGGTTCTGCACCGCTGTTTGTTTCAAGACTTCACAAAATAAGGCTTCTTTGATCAGCAAAATATTTGTGAAAAAACATGTTCAACTTCGTAAACGAACGTTTCAAAAAATTATGTTAAAGTTTGAGTTAACCCTGGGTTAAGCTAACCGGCTTTTGAACAACCGGGCCCAGCTGCTGGAGCCCAGATGTTAATCATCGATATCATACGGTTCATTCAATTTCTTCTAGGGATGAAATTATATTGCAACACAATTATAAGGCTTTTAAAATTAAAAATATGGATAACCAAGTATATTCCACATATCAGATTCTATCAGATATTTTCGCAAATTGATGAGAAATATTTAAAAATGCCTAAAATAAAATTTAGTTAAAAACAGTAGCGTAGCTAGCCTGACAATTTAGTCATGCTATGCTAATATTTTGGTGTTCATTGACTGTGAAAACAATGAATTTCGGAAGAAATCAATAATGATAGCATAGCATGACTAAATCGTCAGGCTGGCTACGCCACTGGTAAAAAAGTGATATCTTTCCAAAGTCATGTATATGCTTTAAACGTTCCTTGGACTGCGTTTAGTTTGAAGCACTTTCTTTAATTCTCGCAAAATGTGTGCAAAATGTCGGTTCAAATCTCGAAGGGTTGCAACAGTTATAACATGTACAAAATTATTGCAGCCGTCTTGGCGTAAATAATAATAATAAAAATAATAATTCTTTTCAATAAACAGCTTATGACTAAGTTATTACTTGGGGATTTAGTTGTTTGATGCGTACTAATTCCATCCACAACTATGCAGAACGCTAGGTGGACAATGGCCAATGATTTTAACAGCGGTGGGCCTCATCCAGAAACCTAATTTGTCTTTGTCAGTTTCTCATCAGCGGGTTTACCACTTATCAAAACAACAAAGAGTATGGGCCGAAGCTTTTTCTCGAGAAATGAGGCGTGAGGGACGTAGATTATTAATCCTCGGACACTGTTCTCTATTCATAAGAAAGGATTTAATCCAACGTATGAACACTGAGTAAATATTTAGATTAACGAGCTCTTTGATTATTATATTGTGGTCGAATAAATCAAACGCCTTACGAAAATCAGTAAATAGACAACTTGTATTATAGATTTCGCGCCGCTAGGCATGATGGTAGGAGGTTGTAGGTTGCTTTCCAACGAAATGGCTGGCACTGGGGGGAACGATTTCCTTCAGAGGAATATATGGCAGTTTTTAGACTATTTATTGCTTTAATCGAGATTCTTTTTCCTAAAATAACAAGGGCGCTGTTCTCTGTATTCTGAGAGATTTTGAGGAGTTTCTATCTATTAGCAGCCGAGAAATTACTCCGAGAGTGACACGCTTTGAAAACATACTTTGCAGAATTTACTAGGTGAAATTTAGATCTCCGCAACAAAAGCAGGTCGTGAGTCGGCCTTTCATTATGCGATCGGCTGAAATTTTTTTTTCAAAATATGATGCTCGGATATTTCCTTGCATTCGATCACACAGTTGTTTTGTATGTTCGCGCATTAAAATGGTATTTGAGGCCTCGTGAAATTGACAACCTCTGTCGCAATTGTGCTCGAATTTACCCTGAACTGTCTTTTCATCAGATTCCAAAGAATCCTGATATTAAAAGAAAAAGGGGGTAACACTTTTTAAAAAAATGGTAATCTTTTTAAAAAAATGGTAATAGTGTAAGAGATCCCAGTTCCAGCCATACGGTGTGTTCAATGCATAATGTGGGAGGGAAGAAGACATATACTAACAACATTCCAACAATATTTGCAACAAGAAGTAAGCAAAGAAAAAGGCCCAATGCAGAGTAACAGTTGACAATGATAATTATTCACAATGTTCATCAAGTTAAACTAGTAAAGAAATAAGAGATGATGCATGCAGTCACTAGCGAGATTAATTAATTCTACAGGTGTTGAGGTTGAGGATACTAAAAAAACAATTAAGAAGCAACAAAAACAGCATGAAGAAGATATCAAAAAAGTACAATTAAGTGCTTTCCGATTAGAAAGATTCATAGCAAGTTTTAAAGCTTTTTATGAGTACGTTTCTCCTGCCTGTGAACACCTTGTGTATCATGGTTCCAACACTGCTCCTATAACTTTAGTATCACAAACAAATTGTGGTAAACAAAGATCAATGTCCCCTGAATAGGGATTATTCTGTGTGCTGACAAGGTTACGTTTGGGCTTACTTTTACAAGATATTGCTCGTAGATTTAAGATCTCGACAAGCAGTGTTTCTCATATTTTTAAAACCTGGATTCCCTTCATGCATCAGTTAATGCTTCCGCACCCTCCCAATTTTGCCCAGCCGTAAATCCATTCAAGATTACATGCCTTCATGCTTTAAGAAAGTCTTAACACCAGGAATATTATTGATTGTACTGAGTTTTTCATTGAAACACTATCATCATGCAGAAGCCAGTCTATCACATTTTCCAGCTATAAGAATTATAACACTGCCAAGGGTTTGATTGGAATTTCACCAAATGGGTATCCAAGTTTTGTTTCCAGCTGGTACGCAGGTAGCATTACCAGAAATTTGCGACATGATAATTTGCATGTATACTAATTTGCATTTAACTTTCAGCATAATGGCCTTCAACTTTCACTATAAAATACATATAGTAAATATACAAAACCTAAAAATGCCGTTGACCTAGATCTTGCCCACTGTTTGCCGACCTCTGGATCAATAGAACAGCCGTTTCCCAACGTTTTAATGATCGAATTACTTTCCTTAGGTATTTCTACGTTCGGCCAAATGATTGTGAACAAATGTGTATATAGCCTTCGTATTGTTCAAGTTCCAGACAAGACTGATAATATTTTTTAAAGTGATTGCAGTAAAAATCCGAGCCGTATAGAAAAGTTTATACACAAATACGAAAGAGAATATCTTAAACAATTTTTTTGGGTACATTATACGTCAATTCATCAACTACCTGAATCGAAATATTCGAATCAATGTGAGCGATTTTATAAGTTCGTGGACAGCACACGGACAAAACTTTGAGCAATATATTTTTAAATTTGGCCGAATGCAGAAATGCCCAAGCTAAAAAATCCTGTCACCAAAACGTTTCTAAACAGCTGCTCTACCGATCTAGAGGTCGGCAAACAGTGGGCAAGGTCTAGGTCAACGGCATTTTTAGATTTTGTGTATTTACTATATGTATTTAATAGTAAATGTTGAAGGCCATTATACTGAAAGTTAAATGCAAATTAGTATACATGCAAATTATCATGTCGCAAATTTCTGGTAATGGAACTAGCGACAAAAAAATCACTGGGGACTGTGGATTTCCAAATTTACTAGAGCCAAGAGATAAACTTATTGCAGACAGAGGTTTTGATATTGATTCTGACATGCCAAATGCGGTACTTCTAAATATCCCACCATTCTTAGGACAACCTCAATTTGCGGCGGCTAGAAAAATTGCATCAGTTAGGGTGCATGTTGAGCGAGCAATTGCATGGATAAAAAACTATAAAATATTACACCAAGTAATACCATTGACACTGGCTGATAGCCTTGACCAAATCTGGGGTGTTTGCTTCTATTTAACATTGTTTTTGCCCCCGATTATTGAGAAAAACAATCTTAGACTGTTAAAGTTGAGCCTTGACTTCTAATATTGCAAGTCCAAGTAATTTACTTTCTTGTGCTTTGTGTTAACACAAGTTACTCTAAAAAGAGTTTGTACAATATTATATATCTGTATCAACTGCTCAGGATTTGTCAATTAAAATTCTTATAACAAATATTGAGAATAAAAACATTGTTGAAACGAATTCTCTCAACATGTAAAATTTACATGTTGAGAGAATTCGTTTCAACAATGTTTTTATTCTCAATATTTGTTATAAGAATTTATTGTAAATCATTATTGGTAAAAACGACAACGTTGCACCAACTCACATTCAGTGTTGCCATGCTCTCTTGGATTTGATAGAAATAGTTGTGTGTCTTTTTCAGTTGGACTTTTCCATTACTTATGCCCGAGAAAAGGTTCTTGTCTTTGCATGCTTCCTCTATGCAAGCATCCTTTTTTGAGAAAGGACACTTGTCACTTAACAAGCATTCTGTAATAGCCTTTTCGTCCTTATATTTTCCCCATTGGTAGGGTTCAGGACGTTTAGCCTGTTTTAACTGGTTTTTAATTAATTTTGTTAAGCATCGGTGCTGGGAAAATTGTTTTCTTCAATTAACTACTACACCTAAATTTGATGTTGTGAGTCTCTTATTGCGCTCCTCAAACCATTTCCCACTGTGAAAGATTGATCCAATTTAGAGTACTTCTGAGTGTGTAATATTTGCAACATGCTTTAATTCTTTTACTGGATCACTGCAGCTATTAAATGATTAAACTGAAATGGACTGTAAATGATCTAAAACTTCATCACGGATAGCAGTGTCATTAAGATTCATAGTGAAGGATTCAGTGTGTCTCTTTTTAGTATTGAAGATTCTGGTGGGCAGCCTCAAATGCATATGGCTTACAATCATTTGACTCTAGCAACCGTCCTAAATAGCTTTCCACCCGACGAGACTTCAAACTACTTGCTAATTTCTTGATTTCAGTTCGTTGCATTACTTTAGCAAAATCTGGGGTAGGTTATACACTCCATTGGGCAGTTGTGCTCTTTTACGCTTATTATTGTTTTAATATCCTTCTCATAGACAGACTTTTTAAAAATTATGCTTTCATACAAGACTGCCTCGTCAGACCCCAGCTCTTCGCAAATTCTTAAAGAATACAACTTCCTACTAGCTTTTTTAACAATGTATTCTACGTGGCAATTCCACTTCAGGTCGTTGCTAATAATGAAACCTATGATCTTTAAATAAAGTCCAGTCATGACTTAACCTAAATACAACCTTTAGATAACGTTGAGATAACGTTGTGCGCTAGCTTAATTTACCTGTTGAACACCCCCCCCCCCCCTTTAAGACTATTGCAATAATGCAATAATGAAATTACCGAGGTGCATTCGGCTTCAATTCTTATGGTAAGACATCAATAAATCGTTTATCTGAATGACTAGAACCAAAGCTAGAACTAAAACGATATAACGATTTAGAAATCCAGCATCCTGCAGGATATTACCCTGTCGTTGTTTAATCTCCACTGGCCCTGTGCGCCTCATTGGCGCAATAGGCCTAGGCCCTAGATGATGATGATGATTGTTTAATCTGACGTAAAATCACTAAAATGTTACAATATACTTGAAAATAGGATATCAAATATCAAAGGATAAATCCTTATGCGAATTAATTTCGTCTTGAAATGACTAGACGGTGAAGACTGGCTAATCGGCTCTTGATTTCTGAGTAATCATTCAAAACTGTGTCGTTAATAGAAATACTTTGGGTAACAGAACAATTCCATCGTTTCTATGATGAAATAGACTCGAGGTTCGTATTTGATATATTGTGTTCATTGTTTTGGTCATGAGTTTTAATTATATAGTCGCCACGCAATGTGTTAATCTTGCCGTTTTACTTTTACCTAATGATCGTATATATATACATATATTTTACGACTTATTTGATGGGAAATAATTTCTATAATCCGACAGAGTTCTCTCCCTCCTGGCGGCAAACTGTCCATAAATTTATCAAAATTGAGGGAGTTGTGTTAAGCATAGTGCGATAGAGTTTGACTGTTTGTCGACCATTTGATTAGAATTTAAAGACAGCTCTCGCATATATGGCCTCAAAATGTAAAGGCATCAAACGTAATATTACGCTTGAAATCATACTCAACATCTTCTGTATAGTCGTCAGCCTACCAAAATTTCTACAAATAACAAAGGGGAAATCCGTCTGCGATATTCGTTTCAGTTTGAAATTATCAGACAAAACAGCAAAGAGCGAGTCTGCGTATTTATAAGTTATTTATAATCATTAAAAAATCAAAATGATATCTTGAGACCATTGCAAGGAACACTTTGGTTAATAGAACAATTCCATCCTGGTTGAACATGAAATAAAATCGAGGTTCATATGTATTGTGTTGATTGTTTTGGTTTCGAGTCACATACCACTGTGAAGTGCGCACCACATTCAACACCACATTGAACACGCATTCAACACGCATTCAACACGACAATCAACACGATATTCAAAAACACCATATGACTAATTTTTATCATTCAAACGTTCGAAATTCAAATATTGTTTAAAACCCTTTCCAAACATCTATAAAAAGGTTTATACGTTGTAACAAAACCGACAGAATCAACGTAAAATGTCCCAAAAAAAAAAAATTATATATATTACCAACATTTATCGCCAATTTTGTAATTCGCGCTGCAAAGAACAATTTCCTAATTTTCTCAACCCCGATTCCATAGAATGATAGAAATCCTTTGAACTTCTGTATTTACTGGAGAGTAATGCGCGCTTTCAAACAGCATGTAACATGGAAGTGGTTCGGCCGTAGAAATATATATAAAATTCCGTCTTGAAATCAAACATATTTGCACGCGCGTCTTTTATAAACTAATTAATAAGTAACAGTTATTCTGCGAACTCGAGTCGTATATGAGCTGTACACAAACTTTGCCGCCCTTTCGGTTCATTTTGGTGTGCTATTATCCAGGGGCGGATCCAGCATATTAGGTGACTGATGCAAAAACGTAAGAATGCAGCCGTTAGGGGGGTCCGGGGGCACTCCCCCCCGGAAAATTTTGAAATTAGATCCTCGGAAATGCGATTTCCAGCGTTCTGAGCGAAGTTTTAATGCAAATTGTATATCGAAAAAATGACCGACTTTTGAAAAAAATATTATGAAATATTTTAGTTTATTACCAACATAAACTAGAATATTTCACTGGTATGATCACAAAACAAAACATAACATTTATGTTTTGTCTAATTACAAACGAAATGTAATTGAGCTTACCTCTTCTCCACAACAACACAAATAAACAGTCAGAGTACATACAGTACCTATATACACCAACTTCTGCCGTTTATTCCGCGAATTGTAGAATCGTAATGGAAGAAGAGGCATAACCAAATTTTTACTGCACATATTAAAAGCAGTGAAAACCTGACCATACCCCCACTGCCATGTTGGGCGAATTGGCATTAGTGGCAGGACATCATGTGGTATAACAACGGAATCAATAAATTCAATGCAGGCACTGGAAAATGTTCCAATTTAAGTTTCAAGATCAGGCGATGTTCTCCAAGACTCCAACAGCAGCAGGATAAAGTATAGATATTCAATGCAGTTCAATTGAAAATGTTCCAATTTAGGTTGATTTTATAAAGTTAAGTTTCAAGATTTGGCGATGTTCCCCAACAGCAGCAGGATAAAGTATAGATATTCAATGCAGTTCACTTCAAAATGTTCCAATTTAGGTTGATTTTATAAAGTTAAGTTTTAAGATTAGGCGATGTTCTCCAACAGCAGCAGGATAAAGTGTAGATATTCAATGCAGTTCCATTGAAAATGTTCCAATTTAGGTTGATTTTATAAAGTTAAGTTTTAAGATTTGGCGATGTTCTCCAACAGCATCAGGATAAAGTATAGATATTTAATGCAGTTCACTTGAAAATGTTCCAATTTAGGTTGATTTTATAAAGTTAAGTTTTAAGATTTGGCGATGTTCTCCAACAGCAGCAGGATAAAGTATAGATATTCAATGCAGTTCACTTGAAAATGTTCCAATTTAGTTTGATTTTATAAAGTTAAGTTTTAAGATTTGGCGATGTTCCCCAACAGCAGCAGGATAAAGTGTAGATATTCAATGCAGTTCACTTGAAAATGTTCCAATTTAGGTTGATTTTATAAAGTTAAGTTTTAAGATTAGGCGATGTTCTCCAACAGCAGCAGGATAAAATATAGATATTCAATGCAGTTCACTTGAAAATGTTCCAATTTAGGTTGATTTTATAAAGTTAAGTTTTAAGATTTGGCGATGTTCCCCAACAGCAGCAGGATAAAGTGTAGATATTCAATGCAGTTCACTTGAAAATGTTCCAATTTAAGTTGATTTTATAAAGTTAAGTTTTACGATTTGGCGATGTTCTCCAACAGCAGCAGGATAAAGTATAGATATTCAATGCAGTTCACTTGAAAATGTTCCAATTTAGGTTGATTTTATAAAGTTAAGTTTTAAGATTAGGCGATGTTCTCCAACAGCAGCAGGATAAAGTTTAGATATTCAATGCAGTTCACTTGAAAATGTTCCAATTTAGGTTGATTTTATAAAGTTAAGTTTTAAGATTTGGCGATGTTCCCCAACAGCAGCAGGATAAAGTGTACATATTCAATGCAGTGTTTAACTTTAGGTATGCTTCTCTTCATTATCATCAAATATGTCCAAAAACTGCATTCGGGTAGGATTTTGTCTTGCAAAAGAATTGATCACTTGGTCAACGTTGACACCGAGGTCATCATTTATATGCATCAAGGCTAACCCATTCAATCTCTCATTCGTCATTGTGCTCCTTAACCATGTCTTCATGCGACGCAAAGCCGAGACGGAACGCTCACATTCACAGGTGGTGACAGGTATAACTGCTAATATTTTAAGGGAAACAAAAATGTTTGGAAATGCAAGTTCATTGCAGTTTCTTAAAGTATCGGCAATGTTATCGTATTCCACTTTTTCGTGCCCTTTCTTCCAACTGGTTTCCCACAACTCTAACTCTGCATGGATCGCCCTAAAGTTAGGCATATCATCGCGATAAGTGGACACAAATTTCATGAACTCGGTCTTCCAATTTATTCCCTTACAATGAAGAAAATTGCGAGGAAGTATATAAAAACCATTGTAGAGTTTGCACATTTCTGAAGGAAACCGATAATCAATCTCCGCGATGACGTGATCAATAAGTGGAATGGTTACTGTTAATCTGTAGTAATCACGTGCTGTACTGGTAGGATGATTATCACGTTTCGTTTGAGCTTTACATACCCGGGGAAAACACTCAGCCACGTCGAGGTTATTAGCTAATTCTAACAGCTTGTCGTAATATTCATTGTGGAATGAATCTACAGAGGCACGTAGTTTTGCCATTTCATCCTTTAAAAGATTAATCTGTTTTATTGATTCCGCAATATCGATTTTTTTCTTTTGTAATTGGACCGTCAATGACAAAGTATGATCCAGAACATGTTGGGTGATAACGAGAGCAGCCATAAATTCAAATTTCTCCACGTTACGAAAATGAGACTGGGCGTCACTAGCTGATCTGGGAAATGGCTCTTCCTGCGATCCTCCAAACTGCATAAAATTAAGTGTTTCGTAGATAACTTCGAATGCATCCAGAAAACCATCGAGGGAAGTTATTCGTTCTACCCATCGTGTCGTGGAAGGCTTTGCGAGCTTGTTACGGGTTAAACCAAACTCTTTCATCTTTTTACTTAGATACTGCGAGCGGATAGGGGAACTGCTAAAAAAGCTAGCGATCTTTTGTGCCTGACTCAACATATTTTTCACTGGGAGAATTGAACACGCTTTGGCAACAATAAGGTTTAAACGATGACTGGAGCAATGAACATACAACGCCTTCGGGTTTTTCTCTAATATTCTCCCAGAAACACCTTTTACCTGGCTGGACATAGCACTAGCACCGTCATATCCCTGGCCTCGACAATTTTGAAGGGGAAGCCCGACATCTTCAAGTGTACCTTCAACATTATTCGCCAATGCGAGACCAGTCATACCTTCTTGGCAGTCGACAAACCTAATGAATCTTTCGTTGATTTCTTTATCACCATCAACATACCGCAAAACGATTGGCATTTGTTCCTTGTTACCACAATCAGCTGCCTCATCTGCGAGAACCGAGTAAAATGGAGAATTGCTGTTGTTTATCTCCGAAATAATTTGGCTTTCGATTTGTTTACCAGAGATCTTGACCAGCTTATTTTGTATAGTCTTGGAGCGGTACGTGGCATTCTTCTTTGCATTCTTAAAATGATCGGCAAGAACCTTATCACCACCACTAACTCTGTAATTTAAAAACGCCTGAAAATTGCCCGGATTGGTGGAAGAGTAATGCTGCGAGTCATCTCGATGTCCTCTCAAAGCAATATTTTGTCAGCCAGCCAGAACAACTGTCTCAACCATTGCACATAGTATCTTTCTATTATAAGCAATTCGCTCACTTCTCAAGTTGTCAGCCTGCTCATCTATTCCTTTCATTTCCCCCGACATTACGCTGTTGAAGTGTGTCAACCTTAGCATGGAATCGCAATGAAATATAGAATGTTTGTCGTGGTCGTCAAGTCTTTTTGCAGCACTTTGCCAGTTAGTTAATGGCTCCTTAAAAAGATTGGTAAGCTTCGAGCCATTATGACCTACTTCTTTACCAAAAAGCACACAACATAGGCAAAATGCACCGTCATAAAGCCTAGAATAGCACAACCACGACCAGCGACTGAACCACTGAAA